AAGGCTAAGGAATGCCTCCTCTCTCACCACTATCTCTCGTAACAGATACAGCTCGCTCCAAAAATATTCACCCTCCCCCTTCATGCGTCTTGAATGTCTTCCTTCAAATCCTGCCCTTGTAACAACATATTGGGAAAGTGGTTATAAAATATTCCCCTAGAGTGGCAGGAATACCCCATGGATTAAACATGTTGTGACCACAAGACAAACTGCACAGACCTAACTGTATTGTTAGATTAAGAAATAATTTCTAAACATTTGTAGTCACCCCGAATAAGGGTGGCGGCTAAACAAATAAATAATTTATTGTAATTCACATGCTGTCTGTTAATTTAGGTGTGTTCCTGTGTCTTTATTGTTTTGACAACTTGAACATCTAGAGTCCTGTTCAGTAATTTTGTGAAGGAGCAAGAGCTGGGCTCTTTGTTCCACACTCCTACAACTCTGCGAACAATGAAGAGCCTCCTTTCAGTCCTGTGCTATTATTTAGCCACATGGAATAAATGACACATCCTTACTAACGTCTAGACAATAAGGCATAAGACTTTAAATGATGCAGATGCAGCAGATGTGCAGCACCGATAAGCACGATCAAGATATCTGGCTCTTTTCATCATTACAGACCATCCCTTTACATGGTAGGAGTTGAATGTTCTTTCCACAAGTGTATTGTAGTCTGCACATAACCGTTCAACTTCCATCCATCCATTTTCTAACCACTTTACCCAAAACAGGGTAGCAGGGGAGCTCCAGTTCCAGTTCCAGTCCATCACGGGGTGTACACAGATACAAACACACACCACATTCACACCAGGGCCACTTTTTCCTGAAGTCAATTAATCTACTAGTACTGTATGTCTTTGGATTGCGGGAGGAAACTGTAGCATTCAGTGAAAAATCATGTAAACACACAGAGGGCTACAAACTCCACACAGATAGCTCATATTACTCAAATAAGCACCCCAGGAACTAAACCCAGGGCCCCAGAGTCACAAGGCAACAATACTACCACGCCATCGTGTCACCCACTGTTAAATGTAATCATATAAAAAATGTGGCTTAATAGTGTAAAAATATTCACACTATAGTGATCATGTCACACAATATTTTGGGGTTAATACCACCTACATTGTTGTATTGTTCTATTAATATTATGGAAATATTTTTTTTTTTGAAGATAGACTATTGCATTAATTCTGCTGTTCAAAGAGACTAGCTTTGGTCACAGGTTTGGTGGTCTGTGTACTAACTTGCATGTCAAGAGGCGATTGTTCTTTTTATTTATTTGCTTTAAACCCCAGTAAAGACCAGATGACTTGTATCAAGTGGTATTTTTCTAAGTTAAAAGTAAATTAAAGGTTGCAATTATATTATTATTAAAAAACATATGGTATCCTTTAGAAATTACTGGTGGGCTGAAAATAGCTTATTTATACAGTACTTCAAAAATTGAAGACAATTAGAGAACATTGAAACTTTTGAGCCCTTCTTCTTGTAACTAATTCCCATGCTGGGGGAAAAATCCTCATGTGTAAATTCAGCTAAGCCACAGTCTTGCTAGTCGGTAGCTTAAGTAGACATCAGCGCTTAATATGAGTCTATATAAAGCATTGAAGGGGTTCTTGTTATCACAACTGAGTTGCACTGATCTCCTTGCAGAACCTGTGGTTGAGCCACTGTTTGAATGACAGAAAATATACTACAGTAATAATTTCTATAATAATAAGTCCCTGCTCTCAGTGCTAAATAAAGCCCTCTGCTTTCTACTTTATGTTGTGTTTCTCATAGCTGGTTTCTTGCTGGTGGAAATTGCAAGATAAAAGATACTATTGGGGACACTGCTGTTTGCAAACCTCCTTAATAGAAATGCCCTCTAGCTGTGTGGCAGCTCCACAACCACAAAATGCCATCAAGTTCTTCTGTCTCCTGAAACTCCAGCCATCAATATCCATAGCATCTGTCTTTTTAAGTTCCAAGACGAGTGACTAGGGGGCCTGTTGTTTAAGTGATGACATGCTCTAATATGTTGACAAATGTAAGCCTCTCCTACTAGTCAACAAGTTGTTAATATATAGCATCAACCTGTCCAATACAACGACTGATGGGAGTATGTCTACTGTAAGTGTTTTTGCAGACAGGTAGGTACGAACTTGTCATGTAGCACCAATGTGCTGTAAATCTACTGCCACATACTTTTCAGCACTAGGTTCAGAAAGGAACCTCTATAGATTCCTAGGCTGCTGAGTGTTTGCCGTAGTCAGAGGCTCAGGACCTACTCAATGCACACAGAGATTATCCCTTAAAAATATTGGAAGAAGTAGCCTTACATACATGAGTCCAAATGATTTTGTTTCACAGAACTGTTGCCAGATCGTCTATTCTTTGCAAAGACCTATTGTGACTTCAATAAAAGTTTTTGAATAAAAATTTAACACATGTAAATTAACATACAAACTACATACAATTGCTAACTTTACTACTGTATTTCTGTGGTAATAACAGTTTCCATAATAGTTGTAAAAATGCTAGCAGAATTAGCACTATTGCTATGACATTCTGTTTTTATGCCAACTTCGTTTAGATGTTTATCCTCCGGTGTGATGTTCTGAAGAAGACTCAATCAGAAATGTTTCTACCTGAAATATTTGCACATGTGTATCTGTGTGTCAGTTTCACCCTGATTCACTCTTGCCTTTCCAAACGTTTATGCAGTTCTCCAACATATAGATCGGCAACACTTTAAACCCAGCTGGAAGTCTTAATCCAAAAGGCTGAAAAAAGTACAATTCTAAGGAAAATGCATGGAACAAAGGGAAATTGTAAATTAATGAGTTAAGCACAATGCAGCCACTAACTCTTATAGAAGTCTTTGATTCCTGTATTGTTCACAAGAGGCTTAACCTCTGCTGTTGCATCCTATACTTTCCGCTGCTATACTAAACTAGGCTCCTGTGAATACTAAAGGTGGGGGAGCAGAGGGGCTGTAGGGGAGGGCTGGTAGGTAGGAGGAAAGGAGTAGCATCTGGGAGTCATCAGCCTAAAAGAAGGACAGATTCCAGCCCCCCTCCCAAGCCCAGTTCCCCTTTTAACCCCCCATCCCACTCCCCCTCCCCTCGAGCTGCCCATCACTAAAACATTCCTCAGTCAGACCCCTAATCCAAACAGATTGTCTAACTGCTTCAATAACATACTCCCAGCTTCATTCAATTGAGGGGAACAAGCTCGTCTTTCATAGAGGCGAGCCCAGGTTAACGCATTAAATGCCACATTAAGCAATCTACTTCTTATGAAACGCTCTACTTTGTAGCGGTGAAGAACAAAAAGGAAAACCCTTCACCCATCACATTATCCCCACCCCCCCCACCCCCACCCCACTCTTCAGTCTAGCCAGGGCAGTTTGAACCAACATCCTGAAGGCTGCGCTGTACAGGAACGGACACAGCTGGACGCAGTGTGTTGCCGGCTACCCGCCATTGTCAGCACCAGCATGGGGCACTCCCTGGGCCGGGCCAGAGGGTGACCTCCTGGGAGTGCGGATAAAGGACCACTCTCCAGGGGTCTTCTGAACTGAGAGCCCCCATCATGCCAGATCAGAAGGCATCTTCTTGGGGCCTGGGGATTTCAATGTTCTTTTTCTCTTTTCTTTTCAAAAGAGTCCGGGAACCATACACATTCAGCATAATTAAATTAATGGGATTAACATGGGTTTGTGCTAATATCCGTGCTTTTATTTCACCTTAAAACAAAAAACAGGTTTCTAGATTGGCCTCCACATGTGGAAATTTTTCTTTTTTCCCAGAGACCAGTGTTAAAGTGTTTAGGCTGTTATTTTTAAATTCATGCTTCTGGTCTGTACGTTTGGTTTGTACAAGCAGTTGAATTATTGCATATTTAGACAGCAATTTACACATCTGAATTTCAGAATCTTTGTGTGTGTGTGGGGGGGGGGCAAGCTTCAGTCAAATTTCTATTCAATGTGTCAGACTAATAGATATCACCTTTGTCTAATGTGAAGAATGCATACAACTGTGACCCTAACACCGCCACTACCAATCTCAATTCTGCTGTAGATGCCAGATAATATAAGTAAAAAACCGAGAAGAGAAAGTATTCTCAGTTGATGTAAATAATTCACACACAATTCAATCAGTGCTTCTAGAAAGAATGGCCAGCTGTCACCAGGCTTGATTATCGACTGGCTTTGGTTCTTACCAATATGATAACACCAATGATAGTGTGCACTCTTCTCACCTGCAGCTGTAACATTTACACTAATTGGCAATACCGGATCATTTCAGTAGACTGTACTCCTCGAAGTTCGGTAAATTCTCGAGATATATATATTCAGATATGTTGCCAAGGTGTTGCTTTGAAGCTGGGGTTTTGGATACACATTTGTTCCATCACTCAGAGAGAAGCCTTCACGTGTCCTTCCTGTCTGGGGCTCCAATGCCAGGCGGGGCATCTTGGCTGCAGTCTGCCTCTTCCCTGTTTGCTCTTTTCTAATTTATTGAATGCTGTGGTCAGGTTTTCTAGTGCATCAATCAATGATGTGTCTGCCCAGTGCAGCGCCTGAAAAAAAACTCCCTGGGAAAAAAATGACTGGCTTTACCGCGGAGATATGGACCCTCTTCTGGAGGTTGGTAGGGAGAGGAGAAACACCCTCCTTTGGGATAAGAAGAATAGATCAACGTAACCAGTAAAACAAATGAGTGAATTAATGAAAATGCATCATTGAAAAAGTGTGTTTGTGTGTGGGGGGGCTGCTTGGAGAATTCTCTGCCAATTAATTGTTGACACACTCTCACTGCATGAAACTCCCCCTTCTGACAGGCAGCTTGATTTATGTCTGGCCACTGCAAAACGGAACAAAATCAATTGGCTATTACCTCACTTAGCGGTGGCTTGTCACCGCCTGAGAGCAGAGTGTTAAAAATAAAACCCACAGCATCCTACCCTCCCCGCAGCCTGCAAACAGCATACTCACACAGATCCTCAGCGACTTAAGCAAACATACTGAGAAGCACATGCTCCTGGGGGCAGGTCCACATACTGAATGTGATGAGCACAGGGGCTGTCTACTTGTAATATGTCTCTGTGTAAAAAATCTCAAATAAAGGATTTGAACGTCTTCGTCCATCAGGTATGTATGGATTGTGAGATGATGGAAGGCATTAAAGAATCCCTTTAGGTCTTTAGTGAAAAGGAAAACTCGTGATTTTTATGTTGAGTGACTTATGAAATGCTCATATAGAAACATGAAGATAAGCAATTCGATATTTGTTCCTGGAATTGTTTATAAGACATTATATATAGATCGTCTATTGTTGTATTTCGTATAATTTATACAATTTACATTATAGTTATAATTTAGCAAGTTATTAGCAACTTGTGAACTCAAAATGCTCACAGGTATTGATAATGCTGATTTTGGGGCAAGAAAGGACATTATACCTAAAGAACAGTAAAGTCAAATGCTGAATGCCACTTCAGTCCTTAATTGTGGATTTCTTGACATGGTTCTTGAGTTTTGTTCAAAACTAATGAATAAATGTACATGTATATTCATAAACCAGTGCATGTGGGTAGCTGCATTTGATGAATGGGAATGTGTTTGTTCAAGGACCACATCTGTCTCCTTTTGATTACATCATCATCACCACAACAAATGATCCCTGGGTGATATCAGTGTTTTTTTTCAAACAGAAAAATGGAATCACTAACTACACAACAGAAACAATTTGAAACATGGCAAAGTGGTGCAGTGAGAGGTGTTTCGGAGTACATGATAATTCATTATTTATGCATTATTCAAAACTATTTTTTTTTTCAAAAACCCAAGTCTGCAGCTCTAAGGCAAACCATATGGTAAACAATGCAGTTAGAAATTAATGTTTACATGGATGTCCATAGGATATTAATGAGACACTGAATAAAATGGCATAACAGATGCAATAGGAATTGTTGTGACCCAATTTAACAATGTTTAATTTTCCTTTTGCATTCCAAAACAAGAAGAAAACAATACAATATTTCTCACCTATACCTTTTATAACTTTTAAACTCCCCTCTGTATTTCTGTTAAAGGACTTACAGTTAAATAAATACAGTTAAATGGCCATGATAGACATACAATACAATAAGAATTTGATCATTTTACTTTCAGAAATATGTATTTGACTGCTGCAGAGTCTTTATCTTATTAAATCATGAACATTAAATAATCCACTTAAATTTCATTCACATAGTCTAATCCTTGTAGATTATCAATTCAAGTGTTAATATTCCCTATGGAAATTCATTATATGGCAGGATCCAATCAACAATCCAAAAGAAAATAAACATCACCAATAAGTAACAATACAGCAGTGTTACAGAGTTATTTTACAGTGTTTGAGAGTGAAATTGCAGCAGGAATGAAGGATTTCCTGAGTCTATTACCATTATACTTAAGGGACACATACAGTAGGCATCTCACAGATGGGAGTTTTTTCCCTTCTTTAAACACTGTCTTAAGAGGACACTTAGGTTTATATGATTTGCTCCAATGATTTTGCTGCTTTTATTTACTCATTTTAGTAAAGAAACTATTACACACAACAATATTAAAGAATCAACATGAACTCATCACAGCACTTAGTAAAAGTTGTTTATAATAGCCCCATGATGATTTTCTGCATCCTTTAATAAGATGACCAGGGCTGTGTCAGCAGCAGATTAATCAGATGTTTGTCTGTGGGATTGCTCTTACAATCGTTAGTGAACAAATTATACAATGGCTGGACAAGACGCATCCAGTGTGATCCAGTAGAAGTATAGCGTGTATCAGATAATGATATTTCCACTTTGACCTGCTAAATCCTGATTGTTAAGGAGTCTAAGACCCATCTTATCTAGTTCTCTTCACACTATCTGTTCAGAAGACACTCTGGGCATTTTTTAGGTTTTTTTCGGAGTCTTCATACAGTACATGGTTAAGTTCTGGAAATTGAGGTATTTTTGTTTATCTATTAATTCATCCAAACGAACATCCCTATTTTCCCTGTGCATTCTCGGTGGCATTGTTAGGTGATGCTTCTAAGCTAGGCCTCCCACAGCAGCATATTCATATTCAGGTTGGCTAGTCTGATGGCAGTTAAAATGTTGCTGGCATTGTGTTGTGCTGGCATTGGACTTCACGTGACCTCTTCTGGGATCACTGGATCCTGGCTGTTTTTGCATCCATTGTGCCAGTAGATGGGCAGTGGAGACCTGACGTTTTGCTGCTGATACCGGTAAAGCCATGTTGCTTGGCAGTTCCAAGCAATTATGTCGTTGCTTGCAATATTATAGAGGTTAGTAATTAGAAACTTGGTGGGGAGGTCCAACAAGGGGGGTGGGGGTTGAGTGAGGGGGTATTGCACGACATGGAGTGAGCGTTATTTTTTTACAGTAAATTGGAAACTAAATTTGCTCATAAAAAGGTGTTGTTAAAGCAGCTACTGTCACGATTGTCATCCCTACTCTTAAGGGTGCTCCAAGCCTTTCGTATTTTTAGTTGATTATGTGCACCTGCCCCCTGTTTGTCTTTCATGGTTTAAGCCTGGCGCTCTCGCTATTCCTGGCTCAGCATTGGAAGGCTTGCCTATTCTGCGGGCTCGCGGGTAGCCCGAGGACAGGTCTTATTCCCCGATGTCCTAACCGTCGGAGTCAGGGGCTCGGAGTGCCTGGCCTCGTTACTCCCTTTTAACTCCTGTTCCGGTTCCGGATCCCATTCAGGCTTTTAACCCTGTCTTGTCTTGGATGGGTCACC